AAGACACCTAGGGTCTTTGCTATGATGCCGTTTTCTTTGTAAGAGACTGCTTAAACCATGATTTAAGTCATGTTGGCCCACAAATAATTTCCCAGGTTTATGAGTTTATTTAAACTACACTTTTTAATTAAAGAAATATATGGAATGGACAAGAAAGTTACCTTACTAATAAATAAAGGAAGAATTGTCCTGCATCTCATACTATACCAAATATCCTTGTTGTGGAAAAAAATATCTTTCCTTTCTTTTCCAGTGCTCCTGTCTTTTTGTGATCCTTGATTGTGATAAATACTGAAAGGCTACTAGTTTAACACACCATGATTCCTCTCAGACATGATTATTACTCCTTCAGATGGACTCAGTACCACATCACCCTCAATATGGGCCCATCATTGAGGATCCTCCCACTTGTTTTCTGCCAGATATTGAGGAAAGGGTGTAACTAGCTTTCTCGCTACACTCTAGGAGTTACTGGTGCAAGCTGAGGCAGGTAGGAGTGAGTTCATCGTTAGATAGAAATTTACTAGCAGGATAAATCCAATAAAGGGTTTGACTATGTGCAGAGAGCAGACATACTCATCGATCTTTCAGAAATCTTACCACAAGAATACTGGTGCCTCAGTAACACAGGACACCATCATGTCAATAATACATGAACCACGTAAAAAGCAAATGCCAGGTAATTCTATCACATAAGCTAAAATACATGGTTTCATGTAAAATGAGACATGCTTCTGATGAACTTACTAGAATTATATAAATTGTGTGTATGAGTGTGAATGTGTGTGTGTAGAAGAACTGGGGTGTAGGCCAGAGATGCATGGGGTGAGTGGATTTACCAGAGACAGAGTGGGGAGCAGAATAGGCAGATCTACTGAAATACACTGCTGAGGGGAGCAGCTGGCAAGACAGCAAGACAGGAGAGTCTGCTGCACCATGAGGGTCAGCTCCCTGGCTGGGGATCGAACTGAGGCCACATCAGTAATAACAGTGAGACTGAACCCCTGGGCCACCACGGAGATCCCAACATAAAACATATTTTACTTCTAAAAAAATTAAATTACTTTCTCAGGCTAAATATTCAGTCCAACCTAATGACTTTTGCTCAAGCATAGTTTTCAATGACAATGGATGGAAATGAGCAGCAGAGAGTTGAACAGAAGCAGCTTATTCCTGTTGTAGACTGAGAGGCACAGATAGTTCACTTTCCCTTTAATTCCATGTTTTATTCAGTGACTATATGGTATTCTGTAGTCTCCTAGCACTTCCACTGAATTTAAGAGTCAAACAGATTCTGCAGAGAAAACACTTCTCTTCTCCCATCTGCTCTATCTTTATTCATGTTAGGAACACTTTGGCAATAACTTGCAGAGTAAGGAAACTTACAGAAAATCACATTTCACAACCACAAAAGAGTAAACCTGACATCAGACAATTCCCAGCACACTTAAGTGAAACTGTCCAATTAACAAATCAAAATACAGGCTATCCAGCTTCATTTGAATTTCAGATAAACAATAATTTTTGAGAAATATAAATATGCCCATATGTTGCATGTGAATGCACTAAAAATTCTTTTTGCACTAAAAATTATTTTGTAAGTTTCTTCATTAAATTTAGTGCATCATGGTGTGCTAAAGTTAAGCTAAAATTATTCACTAGGCTTAGTACATCATTGTACACTGAAAATTATTTGCACTAAAAATTGTTCATTGCTTATCTGGAATTCAAATTTAAGTGAAATCCTGTATCTCATCTGGCAATCTTCCCCAAAGTCACTTTGTGATAGAATGTCTTTTTTTTCTATTAGACTGTGAGTTCCTTTCTGATAGGGATGAAGCTCCTAAAGCAATGTATGATATACAATGGATATACCATAGTGATATGTTGAATGAACCATCAATTCAAAAGATATAGACAAATGAGGATGCTGAGTGAAGTCATGTTGTTGGACAGGTTTATAACTTAAATATCTAATGTATGTTGATCAGGTAACATGTCTCAGAAATGACTATGACAGGGCCTTCCTGATGGCAAAAGGGGTTAAGTCTCAGCACTATGAAGCTGTCCACAGCCACTGCATTGCTCTCAGTTTGCTCCCCCAGCCAGGGAGGTGACCCACATGGCCCTGCAGACCTCTCCTGACCCGCCCGCTGCTCCCCTCAGCAGTGTACTTCGTCGATCTGCCTGTTCTGCTCCCCACTCTGTCTCTGGTGAATCCTCTCATCCCCCTGCACATCTGGCCTATACCACAGTTCTGTGTGCATTAGTAAATAAATCTTAAAAAATAAGATATAATCATGAATGGTTGTGAAATTTTAGAAACAACCTGATTTTGATGATGGCGCCCTTCTAGTGCTCTCTCCTCCCACACCTGAGCTGTTGTTAGTGACCCATGCTGCTGAGTCTCCCACCGCTTCACCCCCTCTCCCCATCACCCTATCACCCCATCCAAATGAGTAACTCCACATTGGCTGGTAATCCAAGTCAGTTTTCCATGGCTATCACTTGATCCCATAGAACTGGTTGCATCCTGTTCCCTGGAAAAAGTTCAACTGCACCTCTGGCCTGTACCCCAGTTCTGTATGCATAAATAAATAAGTCTTTAAAAAAAAGAATAAAGCTCAATAGCAACGTGAGGACTCCCTCAATGTAGTTTTTGTTTTCCCATGTGAATGACAATGATCTTAACAATGGGAACCAAATGAACAGGGACAAGGATCCATCTGCCTTGAGACCAGAACACCAATTTCAAACAATATCCATTTTTTTGTGATCCAACTCAAAGGACTAACTTCCTCTGTCACTTTTGGCCAAGTAAGAGGGTAATTAGGTTGGCTTTTGTGGTTGGGTGATTCTGGCAGATTAGCAGTGTAGCCTGGATAACGGAGATCTGAAAAATCACTCATTCCCCTGTGCAAATTAAATGTCCAATAAAGCATTGATGTTCTTGGGAGGTTTTTATTTTTGTGTTTGTTTTGTGATTCTCGTTTGAGTGGTAGTATTTCAGATACAAACTATGCCTCCAGGAAATAAATGTTTCCCATAGTCTGGCCCTACTCGTTCTGTTCCAACTTAAGTCACACTGTTTTCATATAGCACGTGACACATGCTGTTTTTATTCTTGTCTCTAGCTCTCTAACATCAACTTTTTCTTGTTAGTACGTTCCAATTAAGTATATGCCTATAGAAGTTTCTCTGCATACTCCAGTACATATTAAGCAATTTCTCGACCTGCTAATACATTTCTAGTCTATATACACTACTTGCTATGCTAGCAAAAAAAAATTTTAAGTACAAATGCAAATAAACAATAATCAAGCCCCATTACAATTCTTGTAAAAATCGTAGCATTTCTCTTTTTGTTCATGGCAAGAATGAGTTTAAAGGTTGATTGCTTAATATTGATATGTATTACTGAATAAAAATGTAAGTGGGTTCACAATTTGTTATTACACTATTATAATGAATTCTCAGAGCAACAGCAATCGACATCATTAGCTCTGCACATTTCATCTAGTGTTTGGAGACTGTGGATATTAGTGAGAACTGGTAGTAACACTTGAAATGCATTCAAAAACCAATTTTGTATGCAATGAGCTTTCCTTGACATTTTAAAGCTAAAATACAAATTTTGAGGCAAAGTAGAAAGCAGGAATACACGATGTATAGATAACCTGCATCAAAAGCAAAAATACACGGGATAATTTCAGAACATCCACAGGGATTACAACTGAGATGAAAAAATATACAAAATGAAATAAATATATTTAAATTAAAAAAATTCAGAACTTGACCTTCTGTGCTTTAGATTCCTAAATGGTTTCAAATTGGGTTCCATCTAAGCAAGAAAATGTGCTAACATCTAAAGTATATCCAAAGGAAAACCTTTGAAAAGTGCATGAAAATTAAGGAAAACCTTTGAAAAGTGCATGAAAATTAAGGAGGGGTGCAGACATCCAGGGAGGACATCACCAGTTACCTTATGTTTCTTTCATATGGATTTCAAACGAATGAAACAAATATTAGGGAGCATCTATTGATTATTTTTGCCAGTGTGCTCAGAACTGGGATTATTTTAGTAAAAGCAAACTCCTGGCATCAAGGCACTCATAGTGTATGGGTAGTCACAGAGACCACCACTGAAACAGACACGTAGAGTGGGACATTACCAGCTCTGGAACAGGAGGCGTGCATTCTATTTCTTTTGTCTATCTTTCAATCAATCAATTAAAACATCTTTCCCTGTGACCCTGAGTGAGGATGCACTTGAGTAGTTTCTCTGGGAGGTGATTTGCAGAGTTCCCCCAGGCAGCTGTGCACAGCAGGACAGTTGGATTGGAGTCTAGGAGAGGGGGGCAGGGTGTCATTGGGCACAATCAGATGGGATTATTTGCAGCACTCAACTGCCCTAGAGGTAATAGGGTCTGAAAGTACTTTAGTGATTTGGAAAATAGAAAGAAAAGAAGGAGAGGAACCCAGTTCCTGGAGGCGCCTTCACCACTTTCTGATTGGACCCACTTAGCATCTGCAGGGAGGGCAACAATGACATGAAAAGCATTTCCAGGAGTGAACCCTAAAGGTCAGTTTCTGGCTGTGCAGGACAATGGGGTCTGGCCTCCTCTTCCAAAGGTTTGAGGGAGTTTTAATGAAGAGACATTTTCTCTGCAAAGATTCTAAACCCCAGCAGGATCTGAGAACTCCTGCACAGCTAAACCACTGTCCGGGGCCCGGAGATGGGGGCGAGAGGGGGAAGGGGGGGTCGCCGTGAGGATCATTAGACTGTGTCGGGGACCCAGAGCCACCGCTGCGCCTCTCAGCCCCCCGCGCGCGACCCCGGC